TAATTCAAACAATAGACTATAAACTCAAACTAAATACCAATTGTTTATGAACTTTCCTGGACATTTACATAACAATACTGAAAGGCTTTTATTTTAATGACTTTAGAAAAATTATCTCACTAATTGATAATTTGTCATGACACGTCATGCACAGTTGTTGTCAGAAAAGATTAGGTTAGCCACTTTCACCTCACTCTATGCAACTAGCTTGACTGCTCAAAGCAATATACCGGTAGTAGAGTGCCCCTGACATCACAGCCACAAAAAAACAGGAGATTAAATCTAGAAAATAGCCCCATACACATAGTACTGTAAATTACTTTATTTTTAGCTTGGAATTAGTTTTCGCTATTTTCACAGAAGAAATGATTTAGTAAAAATAAAATCCAGCGACAATACCTTTTTTCCTATATTTTACATCCAACTCGCCAGAAATCAGTAAAAATAAATTCCATACAAAACACCCAAAAAGTCTTTTCAGTGAAAAGTAATTCAAGTTAAAATAAAGTATTTTACAGCATGTTGAAATTCTGAATTTTAGGTTTGAATACAGGCAGGACCAAAAACTTTCTCATTAAAATGACATGATCAAAGATAACATATAAACATATGACGTAATAGTTTACAATGTATTGTCATTATGGTATCGTTATAGCAACCAACTTTAATGCATTGTTTAGTTACATCATGCATCACAATGCATATTATTCTTTGTTCAATTTAATGGCCATCAATCTATGGTATACATACAATTCAACCATTCTGACAAGTCGACGTCATTCACATAAAACTGCCTTTATAATGTCACAATACTTTTTTATGTAAGATACCTTCTGCCACATAATGCAAGTACAACAAGACTCATACCAACAGTAAATCCATTTGTCCTTTGTGCAAATAAAACTGCAGCGGGACCTTTGCACAAAAGACAGACCAAGAAACTGTCTGCTTAGCCAGGAGTTATCAGACATTTTGAAAAGTTAATTGAAATGTCTATATAGAATATTAAAAAGAAGCAAAAGTCTATTCAGATTTATGCAAACATCACACTATGAGTACACACTCACTATATATATTTGTTGTATAATGCTATTAATACATCTCGGAACATAACACACTATGGAATCTACATGACATTCCACTCGACTGAATCCCCATACCTTCAACACCACAATAAATGAAGTACTAGTATTAACAGGATTTGCAGGTACCAGCATGTCATGACTGTCATATATACATAGTACATCACTCCTAAGATAATAAATAAAACTTTTAAGTCTCATTATTTTGTGATATACATTTGCTATGTTTAGACTGTATAATTTCAAATGTTAATTATTACTACAATGTATATAAAAAAAATCATTTAATTTTTTCCATTTGCTACTGTATTACGGTAGTAGCATTCATCTTTGGAAAGTACAAGAACTCTTATGTACCTAGCTATCATTCAATTGCTCTGTTTTCTTAAAGGGAGGGGTGAATGTCACAACAAATGTTCATTGTGAGTTGTATTGACCTGTGGTATTCAGGTGGGAATGAATTCCATGGCACCTCAAAATACTACTGGAACAGTAACTAGTTTGATAAACTAAAGCAAATTTTCATAGTTTCACATGGGTTTTCATTTGCACATTCTCTCTACATGCAGTCATATATTTTTAATTGTTATAAATATAAATACAGAATTGCTTGAGCCTAAACTGATCATATTAACAACTAACTTTCTTTTTGTAGTAGTAGTTATCACAACTAATCTTTAGTGCTATTAACTGATAGAAACATTGTATTTCTAAGGATGCAATAAAGTTATTATTATTATTATTATTAGTTCCTCAGTCAAGAAGGTTGAAGTTCAATTCATCCATACAAACCTATAAATCACCTTGGTCTATTGTCAAGTTTGTAGCCTCAATGAAAGGAGTGGAACAAAAGGGTTTAAAAGGCCATGTCCCCACCTGAATGCAGTGTTACACCTCAAGATGTTTGGCCTTGAAGTATATCTAAGCATGGAGGTTTCGTTTTTTACCTCTATGATCTAAGCAAAGAAAACACAGACATGCCTTCAAAGTGGATCAAAAACATACACTGCATAAGGTCCCATATTGAAAACTCTGGGTTTTTTTGTTTATTTACTGTAGAATACTTTATTTTCGCTATTTTCGCTGAAGGAATGATTCTGTGGAAAATAAAATCTAGCGAATATACTTTTTTTCCTATATTTCACATAAAACTCATCAAAAATCAGTGAAAATAAATTCCATACAAAACGCCCAAAAAGCCTTTTCAGCGAAAATTTATTCTAGCGAAAATAAAGTATTCCACAGTATTTGCTATTTAAATATAAAACCTATATATTCACTTTTTCCATATATCCAAAATATGGAAAAATTATAGGGGCCTTCATATTTATACTGTCAATTCATTTTAATTTTTGCTGTTTCCCTTTGTGAATAGACACTTAATTAAATAAAATTGGGCAATTATGGCTTTTTTAATTGTAGAAAACTATGACTTGATTAGAATTTCTAATAAAATGAGATTTTTTTGCTTTGATATAAATGAAGGTTATTCACTTTGGTGATGTGACCTACAAACATCTATTCAACATGGTGCTATGATGACGTATGTCACTGATTCTGCATTGCTAGGCAACAAACAAACAAACATAATTCATGTTATTATACAATTGAATTAAAGGAGCACATTGGGAAATTACATTAACCAATAGAAGACATTAATTAAGTAATTACTAATCAATTCATGTCAATGATGTGACATGTATTTGGGGTTGGGAGGCTATGTACCGGTTGCGAATTTGAAAGAAAAAAAAACTGTGTTTGAAGAAAACAAATCCTAAAGGGAAATTTACAGGATTTTTTTTTTTGATGGTGGGAAGTGAAAATATAGTTAATAGCATCTTAAACAATAAATGAAGCTAAAAACTAAGCAAGAGAAAAATACTTTTTGCAGGGTTTTTCATTTTTACATACTGGTATTTGATATTTCATGTCACAAAGATGAAAAAATGGGATAAAAATATGGGGTCACCAAACTTGATTTCGAGAAAGACAATCTATAGCATGTTTTGTCTGTTTTAGGGCATTTATCATTGTTTCCTAGGGAACCAATATAGCTCAAAATTTTGCTCGGTGATATAAGGGCCGAAAAAGATGTACAGTGTCTTACAAGGTACTTTTTGATGTCTGGAAGTATTAAAAAATGGCAATATTTTAGTAGATTTTTAAAGTGGAAATGTATTTTTATTGTTGTCTATAGAAACCGCATAAAAATAGCATTTTATTTGTATTATTTTACCGTTTGTTCTCCAAAAACAGATTGACAGTGAATCAAAAAAGTTCACGTACTGTTGATTGATACTAAAGTGAATAATAACAGATTTTGACACTAAATATTGTTACTGTCATATGTGCCAAAATATGTGCACATAAAAAAAAGAGTGTTTGTATACTGTGATTACACCATAAGCAGTGCATTTTAAATATTTGCAATGTTACATGGCATATCACAGAAAGAAGATATAAATGTTATGAATTATCATGATATATTTTAGATTCATTCACAATACATTTGATGTTGAATTTACTTTTCAGTGAGCAAGGTCTACCTGTAGTTGGTTTTAACCATTTTACAGAATACATGACATGTAAAATGTCTCCCTATCCTTGTAATTTGTCTTAGTCATTGGTGGTAGTAGAAGTAACATAACTGTTGTAGACACACTTACAAGTAATTTTTCCATTGTGACATCACCATACACACCCCACTCCACCCCACCCAAACCCCGCCCTGCAACCAGCCTAGGAAAAAACATTGAACTGAATAAACATTTGTTCCAATATAGAAGTAATTTGCTAAGAAGTTTGCTAATGCTCATAATTAAAATGGCTGCAACAGTTCCAAATTTAAATGCATTATCGTTTTGTTAAAAGTTAAATACAGTGCATATTATGGAGATCCTGTCATTTCTTTTTTTCACCATGTTTCTTTTTTATTATTTATGTACAGCCTTGCTAAATCTTGCTAAGCATTCAAAAGAGAGAATGTTTGCACCTGTTATCTATATTTTAAAATCGTTTTTTGAGTATGTTCCACTATTCACAATTCTACAAAATGTTAACAGTCTTTAGCCAAGACTGTTTGGATAATAAAAAGTAAAAAAAAAAAAATGTCACTCCAAGTGCCCACAAACCTGCATCTCTACCTTAACAACATTAACTGTACAGATAAAGAAAGACTACCTGGTAATTAATGAAATAGCGTGAAAAGTTGTCTTCTAGTGAAGGGGCATGTGAACAATATATTCAACAGGTGGCTGGTAAAAAATTTTGATTATCTTTAAGTTAGACATCTCTCTTTATATTTCATATTATTATGACTTGGATGTACTATTGATGTGAAAAATGTTTGCAATGCAAATATGGAAATGTAGGTGTGTATGAGAGCTACTTTCACCATTCCTGATCACCAATGACCGGACTGCTTTCATTTATTCTACTTGATGTATTGTTCTTACATGTATTTAATAGCTGCCTGTATACAGATTAAATTAATAAAATTGGGACTAAAATTAACTTTACGTTCACTGTTTTCTCTATTATATTTGTATCTGAGTGGATGCGTGCAGGTGAACAACCGTATTCAGTGTTTGAAGATCGCATGGGGTTCTGTAATCATGTGATAGGTATTTATCACCATCACCATCTACAAATTTGTCTGAATGGAGAATTATTTCTTATTAAAAAAAATTACTTCAAGGATGATATATTTCGCATTTGGTCAAATGTTTTCGGCAACTGCCACTGCATGATCCTGTGCGTCGCGACTCTTTAAATTCAAGCGACGATCGAACGACGATACGTACTGGGGGCGTAGCTGTGGCCGTGTAATGTTGTCATTACAAATATAAACATCAGTGTTTATCATAGAGGTCTATGGTGTTTATGTGATAAGTCTATATATTGATGGTGAGATCTTACCGTAATCTATGTGTCTTGGCGCAATAGTATCGAGAAACCCGTACATTAAATTCCATATTCCCGGGAGTGGAGGGTCGCCTTCGTCGTATTCAGAAGGTGACACATAAGGTTTCCCCGCTGGCAAATCTGCCCAAGTTATATTACCATCGTTGTTGATATTTTCCGAAATTGGCGCATCTGTGGTCTGCGCCCATGTCGGCGATTCCGCGAAAGCGATTAGTACTGCTAACAGTAACATACTGTGAACCAACGACGTATACGACTCCATGTTGGATTTAGTAAAATACAGTTTAAATAAAAAGCTTTTTAGTGTAAAAAACACCAGTGATTGATTGTGTGTATATACAACCACTCTCGCCCACAAATCACTAACTCTAAATCACCACCACGGCACTGTACGGTGATTTCCGATATTTCCAAATATCGAAGTCTTGAACCGCTGGGTCATATGGTTGCAACACTGTAAAATCTGTGAAGTATCTGTTCAAGAAAATAATCAGTTGTTATGGTTGCTAATGGGTGTTATACTATAAATTTATAATAACAACGTTTGACTGCATGTAAGCCGAAAGCGGTTTTACTCACGTCGGGTAACTCAAGGTTATGGTACAGTTGTGATACAGTTTGTCCTTGAACGACACTATCTTGTTTAAAAAGGCACGTCACTTTCAACGCGCACACGGAGTAAATGAGTCTGATGCCTTGAAACGTTATAATGGTCTATACCATTGTTCGATAGGGGTGTACTAGTTTATCGATTTCAGAATGTCGTGCATCACCAATATCATTATCTGTATATGATTTTTCACGTAATGCTTGGCTGGGAATATATTTGATTGAAGTGGTGCATGATGTCTGATATAATCTGATAGTTTCAGAATATATACAAGTAGTTGTTGCATATTCCCCACCAATATATGTAGGTGTGTAATCGTAGGCGCTCAGCCTATTACAAGGTCCATAATGTAATGAACCTAACTTCTCAAGTTCACAAATCCAACAAGGCATACTTCATACGTCATAATTATTGGT